TTCTTCTTCTTCTTCTTCTTCTTCTTCTTCTTCTTCTTCTTCTTCTTTTAAAATGTTTTTTATTTATTTTTATTTTATTTAATCTTTTATTTATTTATTTATTTATTTATTTTACACTCCAGATTTTATTCCCCTCACCCCCACAGTCCACCCTTTGACTGTTGCACATCCCATACCTCCTCCCCACCCCACTGTCTCCACGAGGATGTCCCCACCACCCACCCCACCAGACCTCTAAACTCTATGGGGCTTCCAGTCTCTTGAGTGTTAGGTGCATCTTTCCTGACTGAACCCAGACCCGGCAGTCTTCTCCTGTAGATGTGTTGGGGGGCCTCATATCAACTGGTGTATGCTGGGTGGTTGGTGGTCCAGTATCCAAGAGATCTCGGGGGTCCAGGTTAATTGAGACTGCTGATCCTCCCACAGAGTCACCCTCCTCCTTGGCTTTTTCCAGCCTTTCCCTAATTCAACCACAGGGCTTCTGTAGCTTCTGTTCCTTGGTTGGGTGCAAATATCTGCATCTGACTCTTTCAGCTGCTTGTTGGGTCTTTTGTAGGACAGTCATGATAGCTCCCTTTTTGTGAGTGCTCCACAGCCTCAGTAATAGTGTCAGGCCTTGGGGCCTCCTCTTGAGCTGGGTCCCACTTTGCTGATGCCCTGTTCTAACGTCTGCAGGCACGTGACACAAACATACATTCAGGCAACACACATGCATAAGATTTTTTTTCAAGTTTTAAAAATGAAGTGTTCTGTGTTTTATATGTTAGCTAACTCTTAGCATTCTTTTCTTCTTTCATGACTTCCTAGTAAAAAGGGTGGGCTTGCCATAATTTTCTTTTATATATGTGTTTTCCGAGGTTTTTGAGCATCTTTTAATTTTTGACATTGCACTTCATTTCTAATGCTCTCTCCCAGCCACCCCCTACCCTGGAGGCTTGTTATTGCTAATATGAGATGAGCAAGTGATAACCTGACACAGTAATGAGAACACAGGAATATATATGTATATGTATATGCTAAAATTGCCAAAGCTTAAAGTGAACATTTTTTTCTTTAGGACTACTATAAAGCTTTGGAAGATGCAGATGAGAAAGTACAGTTGGCAAACCAAATTTATGATTTGGTAAGTAAAAGAGCGTGCATATTATGCTGCATGTGCTAGAATTCTGGACTTTATTAGCTTGAATGTAAACTGGAGTGTTTCTCTCTTGATCATATTGAATTTTAGAGTTCAGTGTCTGTGTCTTGGTTTCTTTGGGGAAGAGTCATAGAAGTCCACAGTGTTTAGTTAATAGGTCAAGAACCACACATTTCAGTGAAGACTACTGTAAGTTTGTGGGTGATATTTTTACTTTAGAAAGAACTAGCTTTATTCAATTAATCCTGTTCTACCATTTTGCAATTGTTTCTATGATAACATGTAATTAAGAGTACTGTGTTATTGAGAGTCCTTGGTGGTCTGATTAAAATGAGAAAGAGGGTTTCTTGGATCAGTGTTTATCTAGAGGATGCTAATACATAGTTGACATCACTTGAGTCAGGTACATAACTGGGAACATCAGATTACAAATACTTAAAGAAAAAAAAACATGGAGCAGTCTCTATGTTAAGTGTGAGCTTTTTGGGGGGATATATTTTTGTCTTGCTGTACTGTTTTTTGTTTGTTTTAACCTCTTTTGGGGGGAGTTGTTTTATATTTTTGGTGTTTGAGAGAGAACATGAAGTTGGGTGGGTAGAGAGGTAGGGAGAATCTGGGAGCAGATGGAGGAAAAAGAATATGCTGAAATATATTGTATGTAAAAAAAATTTAATAAAAAGAAAAGGAAAAAAGAAAAGGTGTTTCTTTCTTGCAAGAGTAATTTCAAAAGTTTGAAATCACCAAGAAGAGAGATATACTTACATGTGCTTCTCAGATTTATGTCATGGTGATGTCATTACCATATGGTATGAAGCATCTGTTTTTAATGCAAAATTTCTTATTGTGTATTTTAGGAAAAAAAAATTTTTTTTGTATCAAAGTGAGTCAATGTTCAATTTGGTTGAATTGAACTTTTATATTTTGTATCTTTCTTAGCTTTTGAGTATCTTCTAGATACAGTTTTCCATTGACAGATACATGCAAATATAGAGTTGCTAGTGAACACGACACATTACAGAAATGTTCTAGTTTCATCTATTTTACTGATATACAGTACTCTAATCAAAAGCAACTTAGAGGAAGAAAAGATTTGTTGCAGCTTATAGGTTGCAGCTCCTTGTTGAGAAAAGTCAGGACCTGAAGTGACGTATAAACCATAAAGGAACTCTACTTGCTGCTTCATACAGACTCATGCATCGTCAGCTTATACAGCTCAGAGTCACCTGCCCAAGAAGTGGTACCATCCACGGTGAACAGAACCCTCTCACATCACTTAACAATCACTACACACACATACACACACCATCCAGACATGACTACAGGTTTTTTTGATCAGGCAGTTTCTCTCTCAAATGACTGTAGGCTATCAAGTTGATAGTTAAAGCTAGCTAGGAAAAAAGTCACCTACCTTATATATGATGCATGCACATGCTTGCGTTAAACTTAAAAAAAAATAGTATCAAATAAGAAAGTATGGTATTTCTATGTAGTGAAATTTTTAGTTATTTTTTTAATCCTGCTAAACCGACAACTTGTTGAAAGGGCCAGATGCAAATAAATTGATGAAAAGAATGGAAGTAAAGCCTTCTTGAAAACCCAATGCTTACTGATCTGAGGCTTCTGTAAATGCTTAGGGCCTGAGTTACTAGAGGTAACTACCAACTTAGTACTTAGTAACTTAGTACTGACAGTGCATCTCACAGATGAGGGGATATTCTTCTTATTCTTTTATTTATTTTTATTCATTGATAGTTACATCACATGTGTAGAATGAATTTTAGTCACTTTCACTCCTCGTTCCCCTCTGTAATCCCACCTCCTGCTGAGGCAATCTTCTCAAGAAGCCATCCTCCCCCTTTCATGTCTTCTCTTCCTGTGTGACCCACTAGTTCTTGGCACCAACATGGGTGGGAGGGCATTTCCTGGAGCACAGGCAACTTCTCAGTGAAGCCAACACTGAAGAAAGTGGCACCCCACCCCCCAGGCACCATAACTGACAGCAGACAATCAGGAAGGGTACACCCTCATAAATCCCTCTTATCCATGATGAAACAGTGACAGGCTCAATCTTGTGCAAGTAACCACAGCTACAGTGACTTCACCGAGTCCAGAAGATGTGTTCTTTGTTTCATATCTCCCTATCTGTGGCTGAACCAGGATGTTCCCCAGGCCTTGGAAGTGGTGATGTGGATGTCTGCTTAGGGCTGAACACACCCCATCCCGTGTTTTTGGCACTTTGACTAGTTACGTTTCTCTTCATTAACTGCCACATACTGCAGTAAGAAAGCGTCTCTGACTCAGGTTGAGGACAGCACTAACTTGTACATAGAAGCATGAGTATTTAGAAGGAAATTTGACATGGCCAATTAGCAAAAAACATAGTAATACGTTTTTAGGGTCTTTGGCCTCCCCAGCCATGAGCGTTTGAGTATTAGTTTATAGTATCAGGTATGAGTTCTGTCCTGTGGAATGGGCTTCAAATCCAATCAGAAAAATGTCTGTTATTCCCATAACATCAAGGCATTTTGTACCAGAGGGCTTATTTGCCTGGCAGGTTGTCACTACACCACATGGCTTATAGTTGGATAAACACTGTTGATGACTTTTCTCCTACAGCAGTTTATATAGTGTCATATTAGTGTCATCTGGCACTGGGAAAGCATCGCCCAGGAGGCTTCCAGCTCAATTCTAGCTTGATGTCCCTGTCTAGGGATTCTAGGGATCATAGGGGAATGCTGGTGAGAAGGTACTAAATAATAGTACCTACTATCACTAGTGCATGCTGTTTTAAAAAGGTAGAAGCAAGGGTATTCTACTCTTAAGCAAAAGAGATCAAGTGTTGAAGAGGTGGATTCTGATTTAAATACTACACATATATATATTTTCATATATCACATAGTACCTCAGAAGCACAAGTTTTATGTATTAATGTGTGCGTATGTGTGTGTGTGTATGTGTGTACATGTGGGAGATGTCCATACGTAGATAAGAGACAGGAGAGGGAGAGGCAGGGAGGGGTCTGATCTTACAAGGTGCCTGTGGAGTTTACAAGAGGATTTTGGAACCTTTGGAGTTGAAGACAGGCTGATAGGAGCTTGGAACCAAGTGTGTCCCCTGGAAAGCAGTATATGCTCTTAACCTCTAAGCCGTCTCCCTAGCCCCTGCATATTAGGTTTCAAAAATTTCCTTTTGAGATTTAATGATCTTTATATTTCCTCTGCTTTTCATTGTTTACAACTTTTAATAACTTCTGTAGCTCTGCCGTTTGTTCCTTAAGAAACAGGGCCCTTATTCCTGTTTGTTCTCCTTTGAGCCATCTTACCTGGAGTTATCTGAGTTTTCTGTAAACTCTGCTCCTCTGCACTTTCCACCTGCTGGACTGGAGCTTTGTGTGGAGTTTTCCACCTCTGATACACCTCTTGTATTTGCACCTCATTTCCTTCCACTTCACCAACCTTTTAAAAAAATTTTTTTTTAATCTGAGATTCTAGTGGAGTTCCATCTTAAGGTACCTTCACTAGCTCTGACAGTCACCAGCAGTCACTTGTAGCAAGCACAGTTGGAGATACTAGGCAGCTGTGAGGCCAGTGCCTCTGCAGACTTGTTGACCTCACTTTTGTTTGGATCCTTTCATTAAACACTGTGCATTAGTCCCTGTGTTTGAATGGAATCTGTTTCTTTTCTGTTCTTTTCCATGGTTATTTCTAAAACAATGCCCTCATTCCCTACAAACATCTCCTCTCTGGTCATGTGATCTTGTCTTTCATTGACAAGAATATAGTTTGAGGCTTCTTAGTGACCAGTTCTGCAATTATTGCTATGCCATTATCTCTACCTGTCAGATATACAACTGGCATTGCTTTCTGTAGCTTCACTTACCTCTTATTCCTCCACAACCACCACCATGCCATCTGTTGTACCTTTATCTCTGTCTCAGGTGGGATTTCTGTATATATTCCAGGCTAGCCTTGAACTTAAGGATGTTCACTTTTACTACTATTCCTATCTCTTCCCATACCATGTTTGACTTGGCTATATCACATATGCATTCTATTCTTTATCTTCATACAGTGCTTTCTTTTCTTATATTTTCTTGTGTTCGGGTTGTATTCCACAACCTTTAGACATTCACTTCTCCCTTATCTTTTAAAGACATTTAGACAGGCACCCAAACAAATGCTGCTTAAACATACTGTTCTAAAACATAGACTTTCTTGAGTTTCTCTGTCAGGCTTTTTGTTGCTCTTTTATCTTCAGTTGATTCCTAAATCCTTTCCAGTTTGTCTTTTCATTGCCAGGCCCCAAAACTTCAGCTGATAACTTCTTTACTTGATGCACTGGGCCCCTATAGTCACATTAATGCTTTTTACCATTCTCTTTTCTTTTTTATTTATTTGATATTGTATTTATTTACATTTTAGATGTTATCCCCTTTCCCCACCCCCCCACCCCTATTAACTGCCTATCCCATCCCTCCTCTTCCTCCTTTTTTGCTTTTATTCCATTTAAATTACATTCATGTATTAAGGTCAGTTCTAGGTTGAGGAACTAGCAATACAATAAAAGCAAATAGTCAAGGAACAAACAAGACAATAAACACAAATAGTCAAAGAACAAGCAAGGCAATAAACAAATTTCCATGAATATTCCCATGATCACCGTTTCTAAGAGCTTATGAGGATGACCAAAATATCTGAGCCAACTAGCCTGTCCTAGCTCAAAGTCATTTTCATGTCTGAAACCTACTTCCTTGTTCTAGCCTAAGATTTAGATTCCTCCCTGAAATTACTTCTTTGTTCTAGTCTAATCTCAGATTCCTGCCTGAAGCCCACTTCCTTGTCCTTGGCCAATGTAATATTCCTGCCAAGCAGCCCATTTCCTTCTCTTTGGCTCATGTTAGATTCTTGCCAAGCAGCCCCAAAAGCTCTCTGACTCTCCTCCTTTTTTTATTTTATAAACAAGGCTCAGCCTGTCCTAGGTTGTTC